ACATGTTTACAAGGCTAGAAAACACTTTTTTCGATATATTAGCATGTGTAGCATGTCGTCTTTTCAGTCTTGTAAAATCTACACACCTAGTTTACTTTCAACCGTGAGGAAGAAGCAAGGTTTATGTACAGGATGGTAAAATCTTGACCGTTGACCTGCAAAAATGGAAATAACAATTTCTGGCTGGCTAATATCAACGTTATATTAACCATTTGTAGAAAATATTTAAAAATTTAAGATTAAAAGATCGATTAAAATTTAAGGAAATGTAATTTACCCTATTCTATCTGAAGTGTAATTTTTTTATTGAATTACAATTACTCTGATGTTATGGACACATTGGATGCAAAAGCAATTTTTACAGGAAAACAATATTTTTTTAAAATTCAAGATTTAATATTGATAGATCAGCTAGTCTGATCACGTTTATGATAGGTGGTAAAAAATACAACATATTTTAATTGAGAGATAATTTTTCATCGTAATCCCCATATTTTCGAACGATTGTTCGACATACATTGCAAATATTTCTGTTCGTTTGAACGATTTATAAAATTGGCCATGATAGTATTTATTATTATGATTTTATTAAATATTTTGGCGTCATTGATAATTAAGTTTATTTTAAAAATAGAAGTTATTTTCAGTAAATAAACCGTATAATGTATTTCTCAATAATAAAACAATAATTTTATTGAAATAGGCTTTATTGAATAAGAAACAAACTATATATTAATGGATTTTTTCACTTTATTATAACTTAATTTTATTAAATCCATTAGATTTCGTGGTCCGATTGATCAAATAACACCTTTCAATTAATTAATCTTTATGTAAGATATTGGTTGAGATAAAAAATGGCAAAAAAGAAGGCAAATTCGAAAGGTTGGGTTGAGATGGGGCGTTGATATCCGAGTAGATCGAGGTAACGATAGCTCAAGTGGTAGAGCAGCGGCGTATTTAGCAGAAGGTCGTGGTTCGAAACCCGCTCGTGACCCTGTCTTTTTTAGCTCAAACCTTACATAAAGATTAATTACTTAATTTTATCTTCATTGACCTTTCCTTGTTGGTGCACAGTTGACCTTTAGGTAAAACATTCTGGTTGTTCTACTTGTCCTTGCAATGCACAATATCAAAATTATACCGGCAGATAATTTAAACGTGATTCGGTGATAATATGGACGGAAAATATGATTCATCTTTAACTAACGTCGAGCACACCTGGACGAAGACAATGGCGCTACGCCATGATAATGGCACACTAACCAATGTTTCTGTGAATATGGACGTCATTTAAATTCCATTGTTGGACGAGGGAAGCTGGACAATTTACGGATTGTTCTCGGAATTAACCTGGAAACTTTAAGCGTAAAAAATTAATAACCTCCACTTCTTGTCATTATTCAGAAAATGATCCATTGTTGGGAGTTTTTCAAACTTAATAAAAGTCTCTTTTTTGACCAAAAAGCTCAAAAATATTAAATTTTTGCGCTTCAAAGGCGTGCGGCTTTTTTAAATTTTATGCGCTTAACTGTTTTTACTTCCTCTTGGGTCATGTCTGTATATNTGTATATATATATATATAAAGTGGAAGGTTTATGGGCCGACAAACAGCTCAGGTCATCGCCGGCCCTCCGCGTGTATTCCTTCTCTTTCCTGTCTTTCTCGCATATTTTGTATTGAACTGCAGCCATTTGAGCATCTCGATCTGGTTACTGACTCTCTGCTTTTACTTGTATATTACGTCGTTATTTTAAAAAGCTAGCCTCTTGTTAGTACCTCAGGTTGTCAATTTAAGAATAGATAAACAACATACAATACATAACATATATATCGCCACACATAGAAGTCTGGTCACATTCACTCCCCCAGAGTACACAATATTTCTTGGGGCGGGGTTGAACCCACTCCATTCGCGCTAATAACTTACTTGTACTCTCCAGACGTCACACACTCACCCCAGAGTACTCGATATTCCTCGGGGCGGGGTAAATAACCCCTTCCTTTCACGCAAATAAATTACAATCATCCTAATGAATTAACATAAACACCACACACCCACGACACAACACAAGCACAGCACAAACACACATAAAATATATACATTTGAAGATCCCTATAGCCCTGAGGTACCGGTACAGCGATTTGTGTCCGCTGCCGTGCCCCAAGACTACGCACAGGTCCGATGATATTCAAAAATATTGGCTATAAACGTCGAGCTTTCTACAATTGAAAATGTGATCAACTGTTACTCTATCTTTGCATAATGGGCACCTTTGCGGTCGCTTTCCTGCTAGAAGGTGCCCATGTGTAATCCTTGTATCACCTATGCGTAGTCTTGTCAGTATGACCTTTTCCCTTTTTGACCCATTTTCCGTGAACCAGGGACCGACGTCTTTCTTAACCAGCCACAGTTTGGCAGGGTTATTCCTATTTTGCCGAGCCCAGCGGTTTTCCATTCTTTTTTTATTGTATTTGAAATTAATAACTTGAGATCCGCTGGGCGTATTTGTTGAGAAGCGTCGTGAGGTCCTCTGGCTGCTTCTTTGGCCGCCCTGTCTGCTGCTTCGTTCCCGGCTATCCCTATGTGGCCGGGAACTCACACCAATACGACCTTATTCCCAACTGTGTCGATCCCTTTTAATTGTGTTTTATTTTGTTTACTAATGGGCCCACGGAGCTTCTTCTCCTGAGTCGGTATATACTACATATGATTCGTGAGGCTGACTTTTTATTATGCTCAGTGCGAGGGATATGTCATTTAGTTCCGCCGTGTACACGCTCGCGGCTGGATGGAGTGACAATTTTTTTGTTTCTCCCTCCGTGTAGACGGCACACCCCACGCCCTCTGCCGTTTTTGACCCGTCTGTAAAGATGGGTCTGGCATCTCTATATTCGTTTTTCAGGTCTTCAAAAATTCCTTTATATACATAGTGGGGGTCTTATTCTTTTTTAATTTTGCCAAATCCCACCGTACCATGAAGGCAGGGAGTAACCAGGGGGGTGTTTCAGGTAGTTTTTCTGCCTCCACTTGGTTCAAGTCTACTCCCCGCGCCGCTAATGTTTCCTTGGCTCCTATGGCCAGCGGCCTCCTACGGGTCCTCAAGAGAGAGTATCTCTCACTGGAGTTAGGGTCAAAAAAGGTCTTATGTAAGAAATGGTTCGGCTTTGCCTATTTGCTCGCATAATATTTCAACGTTAATTCTTCTCTTTTTGGAGCAGGGGGGAGAACCCCTGCCTCTACACATATGCTGTGACAAAAAAATAGGGTTTTATAATATCATGTTTGTAAGAGAGGAAAGTGGTTTTTTTGCCCCAAAATCTTTTTTTTATTTTTTTATTTTCTCGCCTCGATCAGCTTCCTTTTCTTGTGAGGAGGTATGTATCCTTGTAATAAGATGGATACATTTTTATTAGTTAAAAAAAATTGGTGAAAATCAACAATGAGTGTTGTTATTACGAGCGTGTATTAGTGCCGGGGATTAAGCGTTAACGCGATCGCTTGGACAGTGCCAGAGGTCGCCGAAGAGAACAGTGCGGTAAACACCTACGAGTGAGAAAAAACGAATAGAGATTCTTCGGAAAACGGCTCGTCCGGATTTTTTTTTCCTTCGTGGGTATTTCCATTTTTGGTTTCCACCGGGCGCCTTCCTCACCAGACCACGGCGACGAGCGAGGACTGTCTTTCGCTGTTTTCGGACAGGACATAGAGGCGGCCCCAATTCTCCGGAGATTTTCTCTTTATTTGGAGCGGGTTTCGGCAGTACTGGTGCCCAGGAGGACTCGGCAGATGGTTGTGGCTTGACCTACGATTCCCAAGTAAAATTGTTGGTTTATGGTAAAGACTGCATGAAGAAGTGATTTTTGTTTGTTTTAATTTTAGCGATTATTGTTAATTTAGATGATTAATTTTTAATTATTTTAAGTTAGTCTAGATCTGGTTTATTGTTTATTTTATAGCTGGTTAAGGAAACAAAGTACATATTTTAATTTCACTCTGCTTAGGAATAATAAATCGCCCCATTGTTAAGAGGATTCTCATTTCTTTTTTTTTTGTGTTTTATTTCCCTCCTTTTATACTATAATCATATATATAATTATTATAACTTCCTTTTCTTTGTTTGGCTTGATTACTTTGCATGGCCAGGTACCTCGTAAATATATGAATAATCATTTAAGCAGAGGGAATTCGAATGCGATAAGGAGAAGGTAAGGTTGCTGATCAGGACCCGCCATGTTAGGCTGGCTTTATCCTGGCCTAAGCCTAGTGGCCTTGCCAGGAGTGCACCCCCCTGAACGAGTGTCCGCCATGGAATAAAGTAAATCATTTATTTTTTTTTATAGAAAATACTACTTTCCTCTCATATATTGATAGTTTTGTTTATTTATTTATTTTTCTCAAATTTATATAGAGTACAAACAAGAATATATTTTTTAGTTAAAGGAGTTCCCCTTTACTCTGGACGCATAAAATGGGGTGGCGCCCAACTCACCAATATTTCTTTGGTTTTTAATATTTTTTTAATTTTTTTAATATATTTTGTGTAGTGCCCCTCCACTCTTACCCCCCACCACTCCAAACGAGCTACCGGAATAAATTTTGCTCTGACCCGAAACAACTTTTGGGTGTAACAATGCTATCGTGCGGGCTTGTCCTGAACGCGACTGTCACTAGTCTTAGGCCTTGCATATACATCCTGTCTAATTTTTTGAGGCGCGTTCTTCTTGCCGAACCGTAGGCCATACAATCGTAAAATAATTTCTGGCACAGCAGCGTTTTAAAGAGGGTCATCAATACCTCTCTTTCTGCTCCCCACTTAAAGTTCGAGAGATATCTCAAGAGGTTGATGACCCGCTTGCACTGGACTTCGATGTTCACGATATGTGGTTGCCATCTTAGCTTCTCGTCGAAGATCATACCGAGAAACCTTGAGCGATCCGCATACCCGAGAGCTTCGTTCCCCATCCGGAGCTGAGGGGGATTATGTTCCCTCCTCAGTCTACAGAAGTGAACTGCCCTCGTCTTTTCTGCCAAAAAGGAGAAACCTATCCTCTCGGCATTGGCAACCCCGGAAGGTGTATATTGGTGGGGATGGCTCTGTTTGTATGGCCATCTCCACGGTCAAACCTTTTTTTGGTGCCGACTGTCCGGCAGCCCTCGCATAGCTCATATTTGGCCGTGAAAACGCTGAGCTGCGGACTAGAGCCCTTGCTTCAACATGACTCATACCTTTTTCTGCCTTTAACCTCTGTATTTCTCTTTCCTCTTTTAGTATTCGGCACGCACTGGATCTTGCATGATGCGGCCCATCACAATTTACACACCTCGGCGGATCTACACATGGCCGCCCTTCGTGCACCGGCACGCCACACGAGCAAATCGTGTTCTGGTTTCTACATCGAAGTGCTGTGTGGCCAAACTTTAAGCATTTGAAGCATCTCATTGGTGCCGGTAAAAAAGGACGGACCAAGAATCTTTGGTATATGGCCCATACTTCTTTCGGCATCTCTGGTCTGTCAAATGTTAATATGAGAGACGCTGTATTTATAAGACCCCTGTCGGTTTTTCGTTTTATTCTTTTTACTTCAATCACGCCCTGGCTTGACAATTCTTCTTTGATTTCCTCCTCAGAGCATGTTAGTAAATCTCTTGCTGAGATTACGCCCTGGGAGGAGTTCAGTTTTCTGTGGGGGGACGTTTTAACAGGGGTTGCGCCGAGGTGTTTAGTCTCCATGACCATTTTGGTCTACAGACAGTCAGTGACCTCTATACTCAAAATTCCAGATGACAATTTTTATAGATTCTTAACTTTTCCCATTTGTTGGTTGACTACACGGCAGATCTGGATGGGGGAGTCATCTTTAAAATCCCCCTCTTTTTTTTTCCATGATCCAGTATTTTGTGAAATTGGTGTTCTTTGGCATCTGGCCTTCATTATCACTTCCGCTCTTTTCTTTTCTCATTATTTTCCTTTTTTTGAACCCCGGCTCAAATGGCTGCAGTGTCCTCAATAATTCCTGGTTACCTTTTCCGTTCCTAGCAGTATCCATACGTTGTGTGGCGCTGTTCTCTCCACCAACTCCAACGGGGCCCGAGGGAATAACGCCGAGGATGGCCTGTGCCCCCGACGTCACCGGCATTTCGCCTTCCGGATATACGGCGTTTTTTTCGTTGTTTTTGGAGCTTGTTTGTTTTAGACCAGGGGGAAGCTGGCCCTAGTCGATTAGTGGGGCTGCCACTAAAGGTGAATCGGCACACCTCCCCCTCCTTAAAGCCTGGGACGCCGGGAGAAGGAACAGGGAATAGGTTAGGGTTGGGGAAGGGGTTGTTATAGGAATGGAAGGTTAGGTAATGAAGTTAGTATGGGGATGGGGTGTTACGGAAGGCCACCAAGTAAAGGAAAGGTATTGGACGCAGTTTAACCTCTTGCCCGGGAGGTTATGACAATCTAATAAAACATTTGTATCCTTTGTACAAATGAACTGAGTTCTTTTGTTTATTTCTCTTTTCCCTAATTGCTTAATACAAAATTATAATAATGAAGGCTTTACAGAATTTTATTGTACTCAAAGAACTGTATTGTATTATTTTCAACATCCTACCATCAATTTTTATTAAACTATCAACATAAGATACAAAGAAATACAATGTTATAATATTTTAAATTAAGAAGATCAATGTTGAACACTATATAAATAAATTTTAAGTATTGCGTTTTGGTGATGGTGTTGTGAAGGTATTTAAACATAGTTACATTTCATTTTTGCGCTGAGATTAAGCGCCGATGATGGCGAACTGCCGACAGACCAACCCAGCGAGGATAGGCGGACCAAAAAAATCTGTAACGACTAAATTTCACATTTATTTTTTATGAGAATTACTTTCCGTTGTAATTTTTTATATAATGCTTTCATAAAATAAAATGTTGAGTAGTTTAATTGTAATATTGATATAGTACACAGGGGGGAGAATTATGAACAATTTCATTTCAACCAATAACTTACACAAAGATTAATTAATTGAAAGGAGTTATTTGGTCAATCGGACCGTGAAATATAATGGATTATGAACAAGACTGACCAAAAGAAAACAATTTAGTCTTATAATGATAAAATACAGAATCGTCAAATTTGGCTGATAATTAATAAAAGTTTAAATGTTGTTTTAATTTTTATTCAGTATATTTAAAAAAAAAATGACGGATTTACTCACCAGAATACTTCCTGATTGGAGTCCAATACAAACCTGGGGCGCACCTGTTTAAAGCCCTTCATCAAGACTTTCGATCCCAGCCAGCCGAGCACAACCGGTTTGAAAGCTTTTCTTTTGTTTGGAAAAAGCTTTTCCCCGTCGTTTTTATTTTCAAAGACGGGCGTGGGAATTATATTGAAGTGTTTCGTATTAAGCCACTCGGAAAAGGTGAAGCCTCAGTCCGTTTCTAATACCACGGAATATATTCATTTAAATCGCATTTCATCGTCAAAAATGTCTTCATTGGCGTTGCCTAGCAACGACTGAAATAAAACAGTTTTTGATGTGTTTTGTTTATCGGATTTCAGAAGGATTTTATTTATATTAATCAATATTAGTCTTAGTCGCTTTTAATGTTGAACAAAATTTTAATAGTTAACGTCCAAATTTTTGACAAAAACGTATACTGTTCAACGTTGTTCTTCATAAATTTAAATATATAACAATACTTCTTTTCATATAATCATCTTATGTTTGTAAAAAAATGAGTCTATGCACAAGAATACATATTTATAAAACAATTCATAAAAACCAACCAAATTACGATTCTTCACCCCACCAATTACACGTAGAAATCTAATTATAAAGAATCCTCTCAAGTAAAAAATTAAATTTTAAATGTTCAGGCTTGAATAATTTCTAAATGTTTTTACTTTACATAAACAACAACTATTTTCATGATAAACGGTGGACAATACAGCTGATTCACCATCCAGTATAGATGCGTTTTTGTGCTCTAGTTTCATTGACTTATGACCTGACCTAAAATTGTGGTAAATGTAGGCTTTTCCACATTATTTCGATATTAGTAGTTTTATCTACATCGCTAAGACCGACCCTCGAGAAAGATCATTCCTAAAGTGGAATAACGAAATGGCAGACCCGCTGATCCGCCTGGCTCGTTGGCTGCGTCGGGTTGGTTCCCCCTTTTGATGCCGGGGTGGAGGCATCCCTCCACATGTTGTTTTATTCAAGCTTTAAAGTTCGGTGGCTAATGCGGAAGCGTTAGCCCAGTTAAAAAATTGGGTCTAAGTGTTTTTCCCTTTCCTTCTGAGTCAGTGAGTGTATCCGCGTATTATTTTTGTGCAGAATCTGTAGGACGAAACATTGTAGCGGAGCTTCCCCCCTACTGCTACCCAGCAAAGTTAAGGCTCGCAATCAGGATATCTTTAATCCGTTAATCTGGCAACCCGTATGCTCAAATATGGACCTAAGTGAACAAGAACTATACTCTAATAGAAAACCTCCACCATCTGGCAATGCTCTCAAAAACAAAAGGAAGAAGAATGGCAGGACGGCAAAAAATTGATAGATGCAAATACAGACCAAATTGAAGAAAATTCTATACCAAATGTGATCTCCAGAATTGGGCAAACGTCAAACAGTAGCGATGTGCGTTCATGTTTCATCACTGCAAACCCATTTGCTCCATTAGCCGAGCTGAACGAAGAAAATAAATCAACTGAGTCTAAACTACCTCCCAGACGGTTAAACCACCGCCTATGTATTCCTTCAAACCACTATCAATACCCTGACTTTTACAAGATAGCGAACAGCTTTCTTGGTGAAAATGGTGTTACATGTAAAGCTAGAGGTCAAAATACAAAGATATACTCTGCCAATACGTATCAAATAGTTATTCTATATTTAAAAACAGAAAAAAACTGATTAATATACCTATCAGCTTCAAGAAGATAGATTTAAGGATTATTATTCGTCCCCTTTACTCCTTTGTAGTATCCTTAGCGATTTTAAATCACTTATTACACCTTTTCTAACACTCCTCACGAGTGGAGGTAATCAAAACCTACCAAAACTTGCCCTTCACAATCATTACTCATTCTTCCTTGGAATTCTAATGGTTTGAACTCCCACGAGGACGAACTACATGACAAACGAATATACATTAATTATTGAGACACATTTAACAATTATCTCTTTTCTTACTATCAAAAACTACATTACTTACAGAACAGAGCACCCTTCTGATAGGGCACAAGGCGGCACTCCTATACTCATTCGTTCCACTTTATCACACTTTGTAAACCCATGCACATCTTACATACTAATGTCCACTTCGATTTCCTTAAATACCTCCTCCTTCCTTGAATATTGCCCTCTTAACAAGATTCCTCGCAACACGAATTCTTTACACAACCACATACACAGTTATAACATCTCCGAATCCAACATATTGGCCAACATCTACTCATAAAATTCCTGATATATTATATTATTTCATATCATCCAGAATCTCTTCAACCCGTCTGGATATTTCAAATTCTTTTGATTTTTCCTCCGATCATAGCCCAGTTCAATTAATCCTTAATTCATCCCTTCCATTGTACCAAAACATCCTTGTCTAAGAACTACCTGAAGAAACTGGATAATTTTTCAAATAATAATAAACTAAAATGTTAACCTACACATATCTCTAAAAACTGCAGAAGAAAGTGACAAAGTTGTAGACGATTTTACAAAATTAATACAGCTCCTTACCACCACCTCGATAGACTATTACCTCCACACATTCGGCTACTACTAACTGAAAGCGTAGGGCCAGGGCAATCTGGCAACCTGATAGATATCCGCGTGATTACACGGACGGATGAACCAACTTGCGAGAAAACTGATACAAGAATTGGCCAAACTTAGGGCTGAAATGTACAAACAATGTACAACCTCGCTTTCCAAAACAAACAAATCCTTTTGGAAAAGATACCCGAAATATCCTGCTATATAAGGAACCCACTCCCCCTATCCGCAATGATAACCCTTGGGCCAAATCCAATTCCGACATACTTAAATTGTTTTCAGAGCATCTTTCTATAATATTCACTCCACACCATGATATACTTGACAAAGCCCATCGGCATAACGCTGAACACGACTTGAATATTTCCTTGCAACTTTCTTCTCCTCCTAAAGCATTTACTCGAACAGATATACGACACATATTAAACAACTATCTTCACGAAAAGCTCCAGGTTGTGATCTAATTACAACACAAATATTACAAAATTTGCCCCACGGACTTACTTTACTTAACGTACATATGGAACTCTGTACTAAGGACCGCATATTTCCATTGCAATGACAGTTCTCTATAATTAAAAAGGTTCATAAGCTAAATAAAACTTCTGATCTTCCTAGTTCCTATCGACCGATAAGTCTCCTTTCTATTCTTGCCAAAATTCTAGAAAAAATAGTTCTCCGACGATTCTTGCCAATAATTGAAATTGACGTAATAAATTATTAAAAAGAATAGTTGAGTCACGATCATAATTAGACATTGAAAACAAATTTTAAATTATAAGGCAATGATTAGAGCTCTTCTGAGCGTACGGTTGTGAAGTGCGGGGCTCAATCAAGGATTCCAATCCCCATCAGTCCAATCTAAAATTCTCCGTCAAATTATAAATGCTCCTTTTCACGTTTAAAATTACATTATCCATAACGACCTACACATCCCTTTTGTACACTAACTCA